AAAATGACCTCGAAGCTCTACAAGGCGCTTGCCCCTGCTGAGCGTGCTGCACTGGAGAAGCGTGCCAAGGCCATGCCGTCGCTGAAGCGCGTCAAGAAGCCCAAGGCAGGCGCGAAGGGTGAAGAGAAACCGAAGCGTGCCCCGTCGAAGTACGCGCAGTTTGTGAAGGCCAACCTGCCCAAGTACAGCCAGTTACCCAACAAGGAAAGGCTCGCTGCGGTGGCAAAGCTGTGGAAGCAGCAGCAGCAGCTGCAACAACAACGGCAGCACCCGCAGGTGCTGCAGCAACGGCAACAACCGCAGAAGAGGAGGGTGTAACGAGATTGTGCTGCTTTTCCATTTGTATTGTTCCTTTGCTTCTTGGAGATGTTGTGATGCAAGGGTGGTAGAAGTTGCTGAGGGCATTTTCCTGAAGATTTCTGCCTACAGAGGCTCTGTGTGGCACTGTGTCAGTGTGCTCGTGCCATACGACATCTGGCTTGGCGTCAGCTGCGTTCCAACGGTACAGCTGCAAACGAGTATGTGTGACAACAAAAACGTCTCTAATATCATCGGAGAGACTTCTTTTCTCACTGTGCAATATTTTAGCCTTGAGTGCCTTGTTGCTGTTTTCCGTCTAGTTGTATTGTTTATATACACCTCTTGTTGCTTTTTGAAATTACTTTTATTTTCTTGGGCGCGTGCTCGGGGGGCCTACGAGACATAGGGAGTATAAAGCAATCTGGCGGTTTCGTCATTCTGACCCAATTAACAACAAAAGGAGGAAAAGGAATAATAAAAAATGATGCGCTTTACCCAAGTTCTGGCAGTTGCAGCAAGGCGGGCCGCCGTCAGCAGCAAGATCGGTAAGAGCGTCCTACTCGCCCCGTCGCTAAACCCCAAGCGAAAGGTTCTTTCCAGCCTCCCTGTGGCGAAGGTGCTGAAGCCCAGTGGGAGCGGAAAAAATGTTTCGTCTCCCTTCCTCGTGAAGGGAAAGAAAAGTGTGGTTGCCGCGAAAGGTGTTGTGGCGCCGAAAAAGCACAAGGGCGCAAAGGTGCTGGTGAGCCGCAGCAAGGCCACACGACCTCTGACTCTCTATGTGCGCTTCTATAATGCTCTGAGGAAGAGCGGAAGCGTCAAGGGGAAGCGACACATGCAGAAAGCGGGTGAGCTTTGGCGTGCCACGAAGAAGGTAAAGGACTTCAATAAGCGTGTTGAGGCGGCGGTGAAACTTTCAAAGAAGAAGAGGAAGAGCAGCAAGGCCCGTAAGCTTCTGAAGAAGGCAGCGGCGAAGAAGAGGAGCACAAAGCCGAAGAGGAGCACGAAGCCGAAGAGGAGCACAAAGCCGAAGAAGAGCACAAAGCCGAAGAAGAGCACAAAGCCGAAGAAGAGCGTCAAGAAAGCCTCCCGGGGCGTGTCCAAGAAGCAGACTCTCGAGAGCACCGTGCCACCTCTCCCGTAAAAGCTTGGGGGCAGCTTCTGTTGTAGAGACAGGTAAGTCAATATAGAACGGCATGTTTATTTGGTTTCCCTTTGGTAACATGGGATAAGAAAGAGGAGGGGCAGGCGAAATAGTGGTTGGGTGGAATGACGTCGTATAGATCGTATTATTTTTGAAAAGGTGCACGAGGTGCTGCTGAGCGCAACTGACGGAAAGAGAAGAAAATATAAAAGGAAAAACATGCCAGGAACGAAGAATAAAAAAAGCAACCCAGACAATATATAAAAGAAGCAAAACTGGCTATTGGGAAGGAATACAGAGCCAAGGAAGTAGGTGAAGCAAAGCAAAAAAAAAAAGACGCACATACATACTGCGCTCAGCGGGAACGGAGGAAGCTAGGGGGCGCTGAGGAGGTGCTAGAAGGCGGCTTAGGCAGAGGTGATGGTCATCATCATCATCAGCCGTCCATACCTGCTTCTCTTTATTTTTATTACTCGTGTGTGTGACTGTGTGTACGTGAAATGTTTTTTTTTATTTTCGTTCCTACCCTTTCTTTCCATTTTTATCATTCCCGTTTGAAACTCTTTAAGTCTTGAACCTCGTCCAGCCCTGGGGTTTCCTTTCCTTCATTCCCACCCTCCCTCTCTTTCTCTTTTTGTCTGCATAGAAGCTTTGTACTTTTTTTTATTGTTTTGTTTTGCTTCTCTCTCTACGTTCTTTTGTTTTTGTTTTATTTGTTTTCTCGTATTTCGCTCGTTTCTTTGCTTGGTCCCTCACGGTGGACTTTGTCTCCTTCTTAGCTCAGTCGTGTGTAAGCAGCTATGGCCGCAAATGTTTTCTTGTGCGTGTGCGTGTTGCTGCGTGAGTCTGTGGAGGGTTCGTGTGAGTTGGTGATTGCCTCTTTTCTCAAGCGAGTCTTCCACGAGGGCTCGGTTGCCAAGGACAAAAGAAGAAGAGGGAGGGGAGTAAAGCGAGGAGTGGAGACGTACTCGGGTATTTCTTTGGAGAGAGAGCAAAGATGCGCGTGCAATTGGGGGTGCAGGGGAGAGAGAAGGAGGAAGGGGGGGAACTGCGTCGCCAGGCACTTTCCCCTTTTCTTCTTCTTTTGATTGCCTCCTTCTTTGATGTTGCTGCTGCATACATCCACCGTCTTTCTATTTCTATTTCTATTTCTCTTTGTTTTTTATCTTCTCTTGGACGCAGGGAGAGCGTGGGAGGTGGGATTCACGACGTCCTTTCTCTGATTCGGAACGAGGTCTCGTTACACCGCACTGCTGCCCTTTCGTTGCTTGTTTTTCGCCGTTAGCTTCAGCAGGGAGCTCTCGTGTTGACTCGCTGGCTATCACACATACACATCGGCGTGTCCACGGAGGGATAGACAGTTATACATATATATGTGTATGCGTGTGTGTGTGTGATGCCGCCGCGGAGTACCCAAAAGACAACAATGCCGCCGCCCAAAAGAAGTGCAAAAAAGGCCACAACGAGAACCATTAGGGACAAAAACAAGCGTGGTGCCGTCGTGGCAAGGGCGCAGCATGCCCCTGTCCCAATGAGCCTTGGCAAAATTCTTTGGGCCCGTCCGCTGGACGCCGTGGAGGAAAGCAGCGTGCCCACGGGTTCATCGTCATGCGAGGGGCACGTGTCTTCTTTTCAGCGCCTGGCCACGATTGCGCACGGTACGTTTCTGGTTACAATGACGACAAAAGCGCAAATTGGGGTTTCGCAGGTTGAACAAAGTATCACGGCAACTGCGGACGATCGCTGGCTTGAGGCCCTTGTGCGGTACTGTGGGTTTACGGTTCGGTTGGACGACATCATTGAGACCGCAGCCGCGTTCAGCGACTGGCTGCAAATTCTTGTGGCCTTAAAGCGAATCGGGGACGCGGCGCAGCATCCTCTCACAGCTGTCGGTGAGGCAAGGGGCCCGGCGTCAACGGTTCCAAAAGAGATTGTGGTGGTGAGGCTCAAACTCCTTCGTGCGACTGTGCCGTCCGTTTCGGAGGCGGAGGCGTTCCTTCGTAAACGGTGGGGCCAAAGCGAAGGTTGGCGACGGGAGGCAAGGAGTTGTTTGAAAATTGCGCTGGAAGCTGAGACACCAGCGACGGAACAGTTTCAAAACAATGACTTTCAGTCAGGGACGGGAAGGCCAACTTCCGACGTGCTTCCTCCGGCGACTTGTGACGAGAACGCGCATGACAGTGGCGGAGTTAGTGATGAGGAGCTGTTGGCACAGATATCAAAGGAGCTTCGTGCTTCTCTGTCGCAGGAGAAGCTGCTGGGCGTCGTCGCACAAATGCGGAGGGAGATGATGGGGCTGGACGCAAAGGAGCAGGCGTTGGTAACTAGACGTCAACAGCGAGAACATCTTTTGGCCACCTACGATCTGGTGTGTGCCATACTCGGTGGAAGCCGCTCGGTCTGCGGCCTGGCACAGTTGGTGCCTCAGATGGCGGCGCAGAATCGCTTCGGTGATGACGAGGAAAAGGTCCTCCAGCAGCTGGCGTCTCTTGCGCGTTACAGTGAGAGCGGCATCGCGATGTTTGCCGTCAGTGGTGAGTTAGAGAGGCACCTCAGTGACGAGGCAGAGGGTGGAGCCCCGCCATTCTCCTCAAAAGCGGTGGATGTGAGCAAGTGTACTATGCAGGAGTTGGAGTCGGTGCTGCTGCGTTTAGATCGGCACTCGGCATCGAGAGCCAAACTCTACGCGGCAGTACAGCGGGGGTGAGACACTTTTTTCCGGCGACATTTGTTGTTGTTGTTGTTTTTTATTTCCTTTGTTACACATACACACGCGCATCGTGCTTGTAAACGTAAGCGGCTAAAAATCGAGGCGAGGAGGACGAGAGGGCAGTGAAGTGGATGCCAATGTAATTTCTTTGAAGCCCATTTTGCCAGTGAGGTGGCAGCGGACGCAACGTGTACGGCGCGGTGGGATGTGTTTTGCGTCCTCCCACGTCTTTCACCTTCCTTCTTGCAAGAGGAGCACCGCACACACAGGGCAACTTCCTTACGGGTGGTTTAGGTGTGGAGGGACGGGAAAAGAAGGGGGGCCAAAAAGGGGAAGAGAGCAAGCGACACACACGTACACACACAAAAAAAAAGAAAGAAAAAAAAAAGGCGGGTTGATGTGATATTGACGATGTTGCGTCGTTTTTTTTGTCTGCCTTTCCGTGAAGAAAATCCCCTTTGTACTCTGTGGCTCGCGCTACGCGCCTATTTTGAATCACATGGAGGCGCAGAAGAGTGGCGGCAAAAGAGCGTTTCCACCGGCCTCGCTATTTTCCTTAGCTCCTGGCGTGGAGGAGGGGGATGGCGCCGCGGCGTTAGGAAAAAAACGGAAAAGGAAGGCCTTTGACGCCCTTGTTTACTGGTGTGCCACGCACCAGCAGGCTGCCACGCAGCCGTTCTCGTTGATCGAGGCCACAAATACGCTGACGGCAGCATCTGTGCATACACCGTCATCTTTAGAGTGTGATGAGGCTGTCTTGCAGTGGCTGCAGAAGTGTTCAGGCAGTCTCACATGCGGGCAATCTCTGCTTGTGTGCAGTTTTGTGTGTGAGGTGCTCCTCTGCCGCTTGGATGCCGCCGCCGCGGAAGCAGCGGGCGGACGACGACGCGAAGAAGCTGAAGCGGGGACGGATCTGCTGCTTCAGCGGCAAGTGAACGCGTTCACAAACAGGATAGCAGCGTTGCTTCAGCGTGCCAATGGTAGCGATAAGTTGGAGTCGCAGCCCCTTTCTATTCTCGCGAGTTGCGCTTACGGGGCGCATCGTCTGTCGTGCGTGGAAAGCCCATTTCTTGGCGAGGCTGAGAAGGCGTTGTTGAAAATCCCCCCAGCGGTGATGTTCGCCATTTTGCATCAGTTGCGTGGCGACGAATTGAGGAAGCTGTTTCAGCTGGAGGAGCAGGTGGCTGTGAATGTTTGCCTGACACTTTTGTTTATCGTGGATGAAGAGCGCCGTCAGGCCTTTCTTCCTGGAGGCGACACGGTGATTGTGAACGCCATTCTGCGCCGACTGCTGCGGCACACTGCTCTGTTGCTAAGGAAGTTGGACGTGACGAGTGAGGAGACTCTCTTGAGTCTTGCAAACGATGTCCACTCTGCCAGTCACTTGCCACGGCCGTGTGGCGCACGGGCGGAGGTTGCCAATTCCCCCTCCATGCAAGAAAGTGCGGCTATCATGCAAAACATTGCCTTTAGTTCGCCGACTTCCAGGCTGGAGATGCTCTCGTATCTGTTGCGCATACGAAGAAATCCCGCGCGTTACACACGGAGCGAGCTGCAGCTGCTTCCTGTCTTGCTGCAGACGGTGTCAAATATTCGCTTGGCTGAGGCGCGGATGCTCGAGGCAAAGATTATTGCTGAAGTCCCGCTCCCTGACAACGACCCTGTGCTTGTAGCACAGCTTTTTAGCTTTACTTCCTTTAAAGAGGCCCGGTGTCTTGCCTGTTTGGATGCCGTGGCGACTGAGCATCTCTCAGAGGAAGCCGCGGTGCACATTATTCGTTGTGCTGGTGCTCACCTTCGGTGGGGGACGCTGCAACGCCTCACGGCAGTAGCCTTGGGCACCGAGAGGTGTTCCACGTCCTCGTCATCATCGTCACCATCATTGACTTCAAGTCTGGTATTGAATGATGCATTGGAATGCATTTTGATGACATTGGTGACCCGCTTGCTGAGTTCGACTACGAGTGTAGAAAGAGACGTGGTACAGATGTATCTGGCTCAGTTGGTGGAACGGGTGGATTGGGCCGGAAGCACCCCACCCGATTCAGCCAAGTTAGCGCTGGAACGCCTCACGTTGTTCAAAAAACTATCGAGTTGTGGGTTTCACATACGTGCGCCGGAGGCCGTGGCGGCACTGGCGGAAAAGGCACTTGACCTTGAATCCGGCAGTAGTATGACCGGCACCCTTCAATGCGTGTCAGAGGCACTGCCTTTGTTGCCTGAGGTTGGGCGGCGCCGAAGTTTGGTGGAGTGCATGATTCGCTACAATGGCACTCGATCGACGTCCTCGGTGATACGTTTTGTGGCGTTGCTGGCACCCTTGGCTCTCACGCACGGGGTGCGCAACGGTGAGTTGGTGCAGCTGCTCCTCAAGCTGCAGACGCTGGATCCCTTCAAGTTGCGCCAGGGCTACATTGAGGGGTTGCCGAGCGGCGAGGACGCGTACACGGTGTTTGTGATCCACGCGGTCAATTATCTCTTGGCGAGCGAGGAGTGGCGCACGTCTACGGACCGCGTCCGTGAGGCGGTGACGCTGTGGATCCACGACTACCTCCAGCACGTGATGCATCTCTCCCGAAGGCAGAAGCTGGTAGGCGAAGCGATACCCGACGACGACAAAGGCGAGGCTTCGCCGCCCCATGAGCGGGACACGGAGGCCACCGTGGCCGCAGGTCCCAGTCCCGAACGTCTTGAAGAGATCTTTTCTGCCTTGCTGCGTGCAGGAGTGAAGTTGCCTGATTTTTTTGCGTCGGAGTTAACTGCTCGCGTGCGAATCATAGAGGGCGCAGAGGCGCTGACTGGTGAGACACGAGGCAAGGCACATTTTCCTCCACCAGGGCACTTTGTCTTTTGCTGCAAACTTGACATTGCGATGGACGCGCCACTTTCTCTGGAACTTTTGGAGTACCTTCTCGCAACGTGTGACTGCCGTGTTCTCCACTTTGTCATCACGGCGTTCCTTGTGCACGCCAAGGCCACATCCCGCGAGCCCCGCACGTTGCTCTTGACAAATCTGCGCCTGGTGTCCCAGGCACTCAGGCTGTTTCTTCACCGCATCAATGCGCTGGGCGAGGACTTGTCGACGGCCTTTTCCCCTTCTTCTGTGTCGTCTGTGGTGGCGAACACCGTGCGCTTCCTTGTGGGGTTCCTTACCAAGCAAGAGCGAAGTCAGCGAGTGCTCAAATCTCTTCGCGGCACGCACTCAGCGGGGGAGGAGGAGGAAGAGGCGGTGGCGGCGGCGGCGGCAGCAGCAACCGACAACCGTGAGCAGCTCCTAGCGGAACTGGCAGAGGTTGAGAAATTGCTGTTGCGTTCCCTAGCACACCTCTCTTCTGCGCACACGAAGGACATAGGTTTGCTTTTATTGGACCGCCTGACTCTCTTGGCACCTGCCGCCGCCGACTATCTGATGTTGCAGCTGCAGAATCAACTGGATGAATTCACGCAGGTGGAACTCTTTTACCTTGCGCGAAAGTACCCGCCGGCGCAGGATGTTGTGATGAAGGAACTTCAAAAGTACGACATTGCCCTTTCCGTGGATCTTAATGATTTTTTGCGGGTGACAAGAAATCTTCCTATGCCAGTGAACAGGATGGTGATTGAGGCACATTTGCCAAAACTTACCTTTCAATGGTGCACTCGACTTTTGTCTGCACTTGCCCTACGGCATGAGTCTGTTCCTCTGGACCTGCTGGTCTCCATGCTGGCCAGACTTGAGGCGGAGGTTGAAAATGCAACGGTGATGGACCGCAACGTGGCGCTCGTTGTGCTGCAAAAGTACCTCAACTACGAGGATGCCGCGACAGAAGCCAACGCGCCACCCCATCGACGACGGCTTGTTGAACGCTGCTGCGACCACCTTCTAGTGTTGGAAGGGATTGACTCGCTGGACTCACTCTCCAGTTTTTTGGCGACTTTTCCTGATGCCCTTGTGGATGTGGTTGGGACAGCCATTGCGGGGCGCGTTGTGTCCGCGGTGCTACCGGAGCTCTTGGCGGACGTGGACGCTCTTCTGACCCTCTGCCGTCTCCTGCAAAAGTATAAATTGCTGAATGATGCGGTGAGGCTCGAGATAACGGACGGTTTCTTTGGGAAATTGCTGAGAGCAGAAGGCAATGCTGCGACATCGTCGCCGGCAGCGGCGTCGTATCCGTTGGGGAATGTGCTGGCGCTGGCTTTGCTGTTGGCTGAGAGCGCCTCCCAGCGGGCCCCATTGCGCGAGAAGGATGGTCCAGGGACAGATGGAGTGGACCATGACCATCAGGCCGCCGCTCGTGCTCTACAGGCTGTAAGGGTGCGCTACGTCTCCTTGGCGGATCGGTTGGTGATTGTGAGCGCACTGGTGGAACAAAAGGACGCTGTGGGGCTTGGGCAAACTCAGTCCAGGCTTGCAGAGGAGATAGCTGCTGAATTGGTCGCGGCGTGTGACAAGATGACCTCCAGTGAATTTTCTAGACTTCTACAATGCATCAGTCGACTGAAGTATTGGCATCTTGTAAAGCAAGATCGTACTCACTTTGGTAGGGTCTTTCAGCAGACGTGCCGCGACGCAGATGCTCATAGTCGCTGCGTTGCCTTTAAGGCCCTTTCCTCGGATGTGGAGCTCTTTTGTCACTATGAGCCTCTTATGATGCCGCTGTTGTGCGAATCTGTGGAGGTCATGTCTCAGGAGGATATGGAGATGGTCCTCTCCGCGGTGCTTCCTCTGCAGCTCACGGAGGCGCTGGAGTCGCTCCTTGACGCCATTGGGACCCGTGTGTTGTCCATGGTGGATCAGTGCAGGCGCAGTACATTGATACGCGTGCTGCAGTGTCACGCGGCCTTTGGTCTTCAGGACGATGCCCTCGTATTGCGCCTCCTCGCGGTCTTGGAGGAGCAGTGTACGCGTGAGACGCGGCTGGACACGTCGCAGGCCCTCACGCTGCTTCAGGCCACGGTGGACTTGGATGTTCCTATTTCTTCAAAACTGGCGGTCACTTGTTTTGGTTGGTTGGAGCACCACGTTGATGGAATGACAATGACCCAGTTGGGGCACGCCGCCCGTCTGGCAGTGGAGGTGGAAATGGGTTATACCGCGTCTGTGCATGCTGTGGCAATGCGAGCGTTGGAGCAGCGGGAGGCACTACGGACTAACGTGGCATTTCGTGCATCAGTGGAGTTGCTGTGTGACGAGTTTAGTGTGGAAATACCGTGGCATATGAAGCCCACTGTGCTGCGCAGGCGTTACCAGGAGGAGAGACTGAAAGAGTACGTTAACAAGCGGCGAGCTGTCGTATCAGATGGATTGAACTAATCACTCTTCCCCCCCCCCTCTCCTTTTCTTTCTTTCTTTTTCAATGCAACGTCGAGGGGCGGTGTGCCTGAAATATTTCGTTACAGAGAGGCGGAGAGGGAGAAGGAGAGACTGTGTGTGTGTGTGTGTGGCGCACAACGCGACGCTGCAGAATAACGGAGAGGTAAAATTGGGACACTAGGGAGAGTGGCTTCCTGCCTTTGGTGTTTGCACAACCATTAGAATTTGACCGGAGTTGGGAATATTATTCGCGTTCTTTTCTCCCACCTCTCCTCCTTTTAATCGAAGTACGGCCCGTGTCTCGTCGTTGCGGGCCATGCCGTCAGAGGATGGCGGCGCGGGGGAGGACGGTTGCCTGACTGAGGGTTGCCTCCTGCGTGCCTCGCGGCAGTACGATGTGGAGATGATCTTCCAGCTCTCGCTGCGCTCACGCGGTCTCCGAGCATTGGGCGACGGGTTTGCGTATTGTCGCGCACTCACGCGGGTGGATCTGTCGCGCAACCGCCTCGCCAGCCTTGCGGGCATTGCCCTCCTCGCCGACTCGCTCACGCACGTCGCCGCCCCCGAGAACGAACTTGAAGACCTGGCGGGTCTTGACCGCTGCTCGCTGCTGCAGGAGGTCCTCTTGGAGGGCAACCAGCTGAGCACAGAGGCGGCGCTTGCGCCCTTGGCGCAGCTCCCCAAACTCCGCTGCCTTTTTCTGCAGCGGGAGATGCCGTTGTCTAACGACACGGAAGAAACACTCCTTCTTGACAACCCCATTTGCCGCGAGCGTGGGGCCTATGAGAAACTCATTCGGCGACACTTCGGCGCCGTCCTCTGCGTCGACGGCCGCTGCTTTCGTGACCCACCTGCGGCGGCGGTAGTGGCCGAGACTGCGTCGTCGTCGTCGTCGTCAGCAGCCTCGACGCTGCTACTCGCAAACGCCGCCCTGAAGGACGTGATCGACGTGGAGGACGACCTGGACGAGCGCATCTTTGCTAACGCCGTGGCGGAGTGTCATGCTGCGTGCCGAAAGGCCTTGCTCTCGTAAAGCAAAAAAAAAAAGCAAGCTGCGGGGATGTATGCGGAATGGGCACAACAGTAGAGGGGAACGTACAAACGTGTCAACTCGGCGGCTGCTGTGTGTGTTTTGCCCCCTCCACACACCGACGAATAAAGTACTCCTTGACAGCCCCCTTTCTGTGTGGCCGCAATTTTTTTTTTTTATCCTCTCTTCTCTTGACCTCATTGTTGCGGCTTGACCCTGAAGGGGGTGGTGGTCCGTCATGGCTGGCAACGACGACGCGGCGCAGCCGCGGACGGACGGCCGCATTGCGTTGGGCGATCACGTCGTTATTACCGGCGGCGGTCTGAAACGCATGGCGTTGGTGCAGGCGGGCAGCAAGTTGCGCCTCGGCAGCTCCGGGGTGGTGCAGCTCGAGAAGCTCGCCGGCCTGCGCTTCGGCGAGGTTCTCCGGTACGACCCCAAAGAGCGCGTGTTTCTCCCGACGAACGCTTACCCCGACCTCGACATCACGAGCCTGCAGCAGCGTGTGGACGACGCACGCGACAACCGGCACCTCGTGGATGACAATCGAAATCAGATGCTTTCGAACGTGGAGGCCGCCACGCTACGGCACGAGAAGGGAGTGGATGCGTTTCTGTCCACGCTGGTGGAAAAGAGCTCGACGTTTCACACAAAGACGGCCTACTCGCAGGAGAAGTACCTTCGCAAGAAGAAGAAGCGCTACGGCACGCTGTACAAGGTGGAACGCGTCACCCCGGACGGCGTCGCGGAGGTCCACCTCCCGACAATCAACCCCTCGGACGTGGAGCCGGAGGAGACGCGGGCGATACGACTCCGCGCCGACACCATGGCGCTAATCCTGCACCACAGTGACGTGCACAGTGGCAGTCGGGTTCTCGTGTACGACAAGTCAAATGGCCACTTGGAGGCGGCGCTGCTCACGCGCCTTGGGGACGACGGCATAATACTGCAGCTGATGGACAAAGTCGCGCAGCCCAACATATTTCCGGCGCAGGCCATGGGACTCACTCGCGTCCGAGAGCTCTGGAAGGCCGTCCCTCGCAATGATGCCTTCCTCCTTGGCACGGAAAGCGCAGAAGAGGAGCAGGATCAGGAGGGCGGAAAAAAGGAGGCGAAAGCGGAGAAGGACAATCTCAACAAGAGCAGCAAGCGGAAAAGGAATGTTGATACTGAAGGCCCCTCGCAGTGGTTGCGTGGGATTGACGCACGCCGCATGTTACAGGAACGGCCGGCCGATTCACTCATCATTGTGAACGACGCGGACTCTGAGGGCGTCATTAACGAACTGCTGCCCTTTCTGGCACTGGGCGGTCACATTGTGGTGTTCAGCCAATTTCTGGAAGACCTCTCGGGCGTCTTCGCCCGGCTGTGGAACGATTGTGTGAACATTTGCGTTTCCGAGACATGGTACCGACACCACCAGGTCCTGCCAAACCGCTCACATCCAACCGTAAACATGAGCACCGCGGGTGGATACCTGCTGACGGCCATAAAGGCAGAGGTAAACGGCCCCCCACGCCCACGTCTGGAGGAGGCGGCAGAACCACCTCTGCCGGAGCAGGTTGCGAGTACTGAGACCGATGGAGAGTTGCCAAGGAAGCGACCGCGACACGAGGCCAAGGAAGCACGGCAGCAGCAAGAATAACAGGAGCAAGCGTGATGTTACTTGTTATAACCTGCCATCTAGATGTACCAACTGTCGAGTAAGCCACACATTCAATTACCTAAAAAAAAAACCAACTCGCACGGACAAACAGAAGCCACGGGCTGCCCTTGAGAGAATTTGTGAAGATTTCACTACTGCGGCACGTTCCTTTCTTTTTCTGTTGTGCTAATTGCGTGTGTGCGTGTGTGTATGGGTGTTGTAGCTGACTTTTCCTCCTACTTGAATAGCAATAAGAATAATTAAAATGAACCCGTTGATTTTTGATGTGTGTTTTTTTTTTCCTTTCCCGTTCCTTTTCCTCCTCTCTTTCCCCCACGGTGGCATGAGAAGGGAACTACACAAAAATCCAACCGTGCACACACCAATTGTACTTGCGAGGCTCTAGTAAAGACAACTACAAACGTATATACCCGGTAAAAGGCAGACCATGATCTACGACGTCAACTCTCCTCAGTACCAGCAGTTCCTTAGGTCCAGCGGTCGCCGTCGGGAGGACTACGCCAAGGGGGGCAAGACCGGTCTTGTGGCGAACAAGAAGGTTACCAAGGCGGGAGGCGCCGCCAGCACAGGACTGTAAACAAGCACCACTCGCCCACTAGAGGGCTACGATCCAGCGCATGAATAAAA